TCCTTCTCCTACAGAGCACCGCAATTGTGGAACGACCTCCCGCACAATTTAAAATCTTCCCAACTACATACCTCAAAACAGAATGCACCTGTCATGGTTGATTATATATTTCCTGCCTGTTCTATGTCAAATTTTGTATTTATTGTGTATTAATATTGTTTTTGTATTTTATTGTACCCTAATTTTAACAATGCAATGATTTGTGGACCCATGACATACTTGAAAATGAGAGAAATATTAATGTATTTTTCCTGGTAAAATGTTTTAAAAATAAATAATATCTTATAAATAAATTATATATATGATATATAGACATATATTATATAAAAATACATGTCTATAAATTTTATATATATATATATATATATATATATATATACACACACAAGTATAGTGGCACTCACCCTTTCAATGAATCAGTAAAAGACTGCCTTGGTGCAATCCCACGCTGGATATGTAAAGCAAAAAGGAAAGAGATGCACTCTCAGGTCTTTGTAAAAAAAATCGATATTATTTAATAACAGGTAATATACATCTGATCGGCGTTTCGACCTCTTCAGGTCTTCCTCAAGATCAATATATAAACATATACAACACAAATATATAGGCAACATAGGAGGAGTTACTCACCAAACAAACAGTGCACACCGGTTTCCATTAGTCCGAACCCGGAAGTGTAAGTGAAGCGTCATGTGACACGTGTCATGTGACGTATGGGCGTGGCCATTACCATGATGTGGTTGCTAGGAAACGGGTAAACTAAACCCGAGCAAATATGTAGTGAACATGAAACAGCTCGGATTAGGCAGAGAATTATCTGTGCAATGGAGTGAAAGGGCATAAAGCCCTGTGAAATATACAGAACTATAATACCTACCAAGTAGCATGATATAAACGCAATACAGTGATCACCACTAATAGTGAGGACTCAAAGGTCCATTTCTACGAAAAAAGACTATATTAATATTGATCCAGTATCTAAGATACACCAATTAAAGTGACCATATGTATGTGAATCTGAAGTAGTGTAAACATGCACCCGGTAAAAACAATACAAAAAAAACAAATGTATAATGCGTAACACATACAATTAAATCAAGCATAACATGGACACAAAGTATACAGAGTATTAAAATGAGAATACTATGTGGGAACTTTAATTAGAGAATCCTACAAAATAGATGAAGATTAGGACAAAGGCTTATAGCATCTGAGGTTACTAGTTGGTCTCCCATACAAGTACTAGCCAGGCCTGAGTCTGAATAGCTTCTAAGATCTGGTGAGATCAAGCATTTTCAGACTACCATGGCCATAGGTTCTAAGCAAAAGAGTATGGACACTGAGTATTCAATGATAATCTATAGGTAGTGGACTAAAACCACATTCAAGACAGAACAGAAGAAAAAAAGGAAAAAAGGAACAAGGAAAAAAGGACTAATCCATATACTCTGTATATCATGTAAATACACAGAAATAAATACTTCAAATAACAACTGCAGAGTCTATAGTAACAAGAAAAGGGGTGTAGAGATGCCAGTTAGGCTAAATAATCACTGAAAGTGATTGGAATACAGCCATATGAGGTAATACTGAAAATCTATTGCAATATCAGTCACTGACCATGTGAGGGAAAAATGTACAGAAATTGCATACAGAAAAATATATATATATACAGACTATACAGCAAAATGTATACAAGAAATAAAATAAAATAGAATTACAAAACTACACTGCCAAAATGGTATATGCCAGTGTCGGAGGACCTAATTGATCACTATAACCAAGTCACTAGAGGTAAATGGAGTCTAGAGAAATATCACCAAAAACAAAGACAACGTAGGCAAGACATATCGTACACAATATAAAGATACCCTTCGGTGCAAAGATGTACAGGAAAAGAGGCTCAGGACGATGATCCTAGACTACCGGGATAAGAGGGATGTATAGTATCAGAGAAAAACTGAATAAACAATATTCTCATTTAATCCTCTGGGTGTTACTGTGTCCAGTTGGTATGTCCATTTTGCTTCCCGTTGAAGTAACATTCTTGATCTATCACCACCCCTGTGAAGCGTAATGATGGTAGTCTGTGTGTTAAAGCCAAAAAATGTTTGGCTACTGGTTTGTCGCTGTAGTTATCCCGATAGGCAGTGGTGATAGTTGACCGATGTCCACGTATCCTATCTCTCAGGGTGAGGTTAGTTTTGCCAACATACGATAGTCCGCACGGACAGGTATTAAGGTATATTACGTGGTCTGTGGTACATGTTATATGATGTCGGATGTTAATTCTTTCGCCACTGTGAGGATGTGCGAATGACTTGCCACTAACCATGTGGCTGCACATCACACGACCCACTACACTTGTAGCATCCTTTCTTGGTGATATTTGATATAGGCTGGTAGCAATGAAGTGGGTCATTCCTGACCAAAATATCTTTAAGACTTCTGTTCCTCTTGTAGCTGAAAATCGGTCGTTCTCGAAATATTTGTGGAAGTTGTTTATCTGATTGTAGTAGTCCCCAGTTCTTGTTAACAGAATGTTTCACCGTAGAGATGCCCGTATGGAATGTGAGCGGGAGAAACATCCTAGATGTTGGTGTTGCATTAGTTTTGGTTACTTCATTAGTTTCAGATTCCCATATTTCAATGGCACGAGTTTGGGCTTTCTGGAGAGTCTGAACCTGATATCCCCTTGCCCTGAATCTATTCCACATTTGTTGAAACTGAATGTCACGATTTTCAGAAGTAGTGTTGTATCTGAGAACTCTGAGGAATTGAGATATGGGTAATGAAGCCTTAAATTGTGTGGGATGGAAGCTGGATGCCATCAATAGTGTATTGCGGTCCGTCTCTTTACGGTATAGCATGAACTCCAATTTTCCACGATATTTATAAATAGTGACATCCAAAAAAGGATGGACTGTGTGTCATATTACATACTCAATTTCACAGAGGTAGGAGCAAGGTTGATCTTAGTAAGCATGTTCTTCAATGACTCCATAGTACCTGTCCATACTAAAAATATGTCGTCCACAAAGCGATGGTAGTGTTGTATGGAGTCTCCAAATTTCTGTAAGATGTATTTATTTTCAAATGTGTACATAAAAGCATTGGCGTAAGAGGGTGCCATCGCCGCTCCCATCGCTGTCCCCGAGAGTTGTAGAAAAAATTGTTTTTCAAATTTAAAATAATTACAAGTCAAGGCAATATGTAGGAATTCCAGTAAGAATTCAATGGGAGTTCCTGTGTAAACTGTGGATTCACTCAGAATCGTTCTGAGAGCCTGTAGCCCCTCTCGATGGGGTATGATGGTATACAGGCTCTGTACGTCTAAAGTGACAAGTATTGACGATTCGTCAATCGTAGGTGTTAACTTTATTTTATGAATGAAGTCCCGTGTGTCCCGTAGACAAGTGGGGAGTGCCACTACACTTTTTTTAATAAAATCGACATATTTAGCCACTGGTTCCAGTAAACTATCATTGGCCGACACAATGGGTCTTCCTGGTGGGGTGATAGGGTCCTTGTGGATCTTGGGCAGAGTATATAGTACCGGGTGTCTCGGGTATTCAACAAACAAAAATTGAGCTGTTTTCTCATCCAAGAAACCACTAAGAATGCCCAAGTCAATCTGGTTCTTGATTCTGGTTTGAAATTTTTTCACGGGGTCAAACCTGAGTCTCATATATGTAGTATGGTCATTAAGTTGTCGTAGTATTTAATTCCGATAGTCTTGATAGGATTGAATCACAGTGGCACCGCCCTTATCGGCAGAGTGTATGACGATGTTGATGTAGTGACTGAGGTCATGTAAGGCTTTAATCTCACCCGGAGTTAGATTTGAAAGGTATGTAGGGGGATTTTTCACCATCTGTTCTGTGTCTGCCTTTACAGTCTGGATAAAGGTCCTGATGGAGGCATTATTGGTACGTACATCCTTCTTTTGTTTCATGTAAAATGGTGATATCAATTTAGGTGTAGGTTCTTTCATAATTTCATATAGATAAAGTGTCCTTTGAGTTTTATACATCTCAATCTCTTGTTGAAACGGGTCGACTTTAGACACAGGTACAAACGAAAGCCCTTTGTTCAACAAAGAGTAGTGATCCGTGGTTAGCACTTTATCTGATAAATTGAAAATAGTGGTCATTTCCTTGGTTTGGGAGGTTTCCCAATGTGATATGAATTTCTTCCAATTGCTCTGCCCTCTTTGTATTGGGCGGTTCTGTTTGTGCCTATTCTGGATGTAACCGGTGGTTCTCTCAATGGGGTGCCCACCCTTAAAAAAGTATCATGTGGTGGGTTCTTGTTATCTCTTCCAGATTCAGCGTCAGAGGTGGAATCAACAGAACTGGCATCAACGGTTTGGAAGGTGGGTTTACGGATCTTCGTTCTAAACCTAAAATTGGGTCTAGGGGAATCCTGAGAACCTCCAAGCCACCTATACACCTGATGGTACTTATAGTCGTTGTTGACCTTTTCAAGTTTCTGCTTCTTAAAGCGAATGAGATCGTTTTTATATTTATTTAATTCATCCTGTAATTTCAACATTTGTATAGTGGCAGAAGATGCTTGTAGTATAGAGGCATTGGAGGTTTCAACCTTTTGGATAGATTGTTTGACAAATAAAAGTTCCTTCCCCACTTCCTCCACCACAATCACCATCCAATCAAGTGAACACTTGTTGGAAATTAACATCCATTTTTTACAGAATTCAGGGTTCTGTCTGCCTATGGTAGGTGAGTTTCTGACCCTGAAACCTCTGGGTATCCTCTTAGCTCTGTGGTAATCAGAGATGAAGACCCCATGTAGGTCCAGGTCAGTTTCCTTTTTCTTTAATTTAACTAAATCATTATAAAGATCCTGTACAGAATTAGTGTGAATTAAATCCTTGTTACTTTTTTCCTTTTTTTCTTCTGTTCTGTCTTGAATGTGGTTTTAGTCCACTACCTATAGATTATCATTGAATACTCAGTGTCCATACTCTCTTGCTTAGAACCTATGGCCATGGTAGTCTGAAAATGCTTGATCTAGCCAGATCTTAGAAGCTATTCAGACTCAGGCCTGGCTAGTACTTGTATGGGAGACCAACTAGTAACCTCAGATGCTATAACCCTTTGTCCTAATCTTCATCTATTTTGTAGGATTCTCTAATTAAAGTTCCCACATAGTATTCTCATTTTAATACTCTGTATACTTTGTGTCCATGTTATGCTTGATTTAATTGTATGTGTTACACATTATACATTTGTTTTTTTTGTATTGTTTTTACCGGGTGCATGTTTACACTACTTCAGATTCACATACATATGGTCACTTTAATTGGTGTATCTTAGATACTGGATCAATATTAATATAGTCTTTCCTAGCAACCACATCATGGTAATGGCCACGCCCATACGTCACATGACACGCGTCACATGACGCTTCACTTACACTTCCGGGTTCGGACTAATGGAAACTGGTGTGCACTGTTTGTTTGGTGAGTAACTCCTCCTATGTTGCCTATATATTTGTGTTGTATATGTTTGTATATTGATCTTGAGGAAGACCTGAAGAGGTCGAAACGTCGATCAGATGTATGTTACCTGTTATTAAATAATATCGAGTTTTTTTACAAAGACCTGAGAGTGCATCTCTTTCCTTTTTGCTTTATATATATATATATATAATTATATATTTTTATTAACAGTAACTTTTTTTTATTTTACAGTTGCAGAGAGACTGCCTGTCAGTAGAGGCAGTCCCCCTGCAGGCAGACACTAGGACACGTATTTTGACCATGTGATCGCTCTGTTGAGCGATCACATGGCCCCCTGGGTCCTAATCTGCCATGGGGAGACTGTCTGGGCTGCAGGCAGTCTCCCCACACCAGGAGCACCGCCGATCGCCGCCGGGGGAACAACGGCGATCGGGTAAGTACATGTGACCGTTATGATGGTTCAGGACCATCACCGGTCCTTAACTGTATGTTATCGATGACGGTCCTGAACCGTCATCGGTCGTCAAGGGGTTAAAAAAATAATAATTGTAAGGAAAACAAATAATGATCTGTAGGCAGTAACGTTTTGGCAACAATTGTATCTTGTACGTGTTCTTAGAATGTGGAAGGAATGAAAGATTTTTTAAATAAAGTATAAATGCAAGAAAACACAAATTTAAAGGGACACTATAGTCACCAGAACCACTACAGCTTATTGTATTTGTTCTGGTGAGTATAATCATTCCCTGCAGGCTTTTTTGCAGTAAAAAATGTCTTTACAGAGATAAGGGAGTGTTTACAGAGGGCTACTATAGGTACTTCCTCGGGCAGTGCTGCTGACATTCAGTGTCTCCTCCCTCTTTATGGAAACACTAAACTTTCCTCAGAGAGATGCATTAATTCAATGGATCTCTATGAGAATATGCTGATTGGCCAGGGCTGTGTTTGGCATTCCCTATGGGAAAACATTGTGATTTTCTTTGATCAATACTTCTGATGATGTCAGCCAAGCAAGGAGATCAGGGGCAGAGCCAGCAGCAGTAGACTGCAATTGTGACAGATCCATCTGTATAGACTAAGATTGCTGGATTCGTCTGTTTTGCCTTTTTCATGAATTTACCCGTTCGTATGCCTTTGTTTAAGTGAATTAACTTTTCTGCTGAACGGAACTGCCGAACGGACGGCCACCCAGAAGAGAAGTGTGTTGCTGGTTAACCTATTGATCCCAATTAGAACGTTGCGGTTAACCACAGACACTTCTCAATAAAAACTGAATACAGGGTGGGCGTCGTTCGTATGTCGACCACGAGGTGGCGGCCATTTTAAACCATGCGAAAGACCAGCGGTGTTCGGCATTGATTTCATGGAACTGAAAATGGACACTTTTTCAACCGAACACCGCTGAAGCCGCCGACCTCCCTTCTCAATCGACAGGAGTGTGCGAACACCGGCCGTTCGGGAGGTTTAAAGGCACGAATGGACTTAGCCCAGATAGCCGTCCCATGGAGTCAATCGCATACCGAAGAACTGTAATAGACTTTGACTCCATGGCGATTGAACTATGCGTATGGGATCTGAGCGCTATTCGCCAATAATATGCACTCAGATCCAGGCTATCTGGGGATATGTGTTACGAATGGGTAGCATTCGACAAATGTAAAGTTATCTATTTTTATGTGTTTTTATTTGTTGAATTTAAAATGGCGATTTGCCTCTGTCCTGGAGATAATTGAATTACTTCTCAATTATCTCCAGGGCAGAGGGGAGGAATTACTATTGCATGCTGGGAATATTTTGTGTCTGTGGGTCTTGAACTGCCATATGTCTATCTGTTGTCACAGTCTCCCATTTGGTCCCCTAGGGGAGTGTCCACCAAGTGGCAGGTAGCCCACAGTAAAGCCAGTTCTTGTTTTCCCCTAAATGCGGAGTTTGGTCTCATTATTGGGGGGATTTATTACCGACGACTAGAGGCTGCTGGATGGGATTATTAGCCGCTTGGGAGATACCTGCGTTCGGCTAATATTGGCGATTCGTGAGTTTGGAGCTCGTGGAGGCAAGTGCCCGTACAGATCCCGTTCGTGAGTTTGCAGTGTTCCCTTGCTTGCGGTTCGCATGATTATACTGGATACACATGCAGCCTGGGTTATTGCGAACGGGGAGCATTCACTAAATGGCGGTTTGTACATTTCATGCTGAGGGTACTGTAACAGCAATAAAGGTCAGATTTGACCACATTAGGTAGGCAAGGGGAGGCTAGGGGGGCTAGATGGTGTTTTTAACACTATAGGGTCAAGAATACATGTTTGTGTTCCTGACCCTATAGTGTTCCTTTAATATTTGTAGTGCACTTATTGACTACAATCTATCCTCTAATCTGCTCATTCAGATATATATCTAGTGTTTTAGGCTAGCTATCTATGCTCTCCCCACTCATATAAAACTGTGGATCTATTTGGGAGATTAAAATATTCCCTGCAATGTTGAGGGGGAATGTGACTTGTATCTCATCTACATATAAAGATATCAGCATATGGCCCTTTAATGTCATCATGATGACTTAAAGTAACACTATGGCATTAGGAAAACAAATTTGTATCCCTAATGGTATAGTGTCCCTCTCCCTCTTCCACCCCGCCCCCCCACCAATATATTTTTTTCAAGATATGTTTTACTTGCCTTATTCCAGAGAATGGGATTGACTAGGGAATTCATATTTGAGACCAGTATAGGGATCTTGAAAACTTGCGGACCTGGAGATTTTTTTTAGTTGAGTCATTTTGACCTTTAATTTATAAAAAGCTGATCCATTTCTAAACAATAATTTTAGAACTCTTTGATGGATGTTTCTACAAACTGGAACCTTGTAAGTTCTTATAAATTAAGTGAATAATGCTAGGAGAATTGTTGCACATTTGGACATGCTTAATAGTGGAATAATTAGGATATTTAAATCTGTTTATTTTTCAAAGTTTTTTAATAAGTTACTTAGATCAAACACTTTTTTTTGTTTTCTCATCATGGTTCGCCTACTATATCACCATTTCACATAAAAACATGTTCTAACTTTGTATCGTCCTAAATGGAAAACTGTTATATGATCCACTTGCTTGATATCAGCTATAATAATAAAAGTTCCACGTATCTTTACTATATATTTTTCTTTTTTTTTCTTTCTGTGATTACCTATTTCACTTTCTGTTCATACCTATTATTACAGTACATTTGCAGCACTATATTTTTACTTGGTGGTAGCTTTTAGAGATGTTCTGTGAACGTATTTCATTGAATAAGGTTATAAATGGATTGCAAAATACCTAAAATCCAGGTATCATGGTATCATGGTAGGTTTAAATTTTATTTCTTTTGTAAGCAATTTTACCGTAAGTATAAGGTATAATACTGGTTTTGTCAATAGGATTTAAAATAATGTTATTAAACAATCTGTGTGTCCAACTTGTCTGGTTACAACTACATGTCTGTTCGTCCACCCATTGTAAAGCGCTGCGGAATTTGATGGCACTATATAAATATCATAATAATAATAATCTAGAAAGGTATATATAAAAAAACAAAAAAACAATGAGGCAATACATTTGCCTAAAAGACTCACATTATGAAATGGCTCTTAACTGTTCCTAGGTTTGATGGAAACCATCAAAGCCAAAATTCATTAGAGCACTACTGTGCAGTCCCAGTATCTTTGAATAGTAGCATCAGATTGAATATATTCTGAAAAGCCTAATACATCCTGCATTACAACAGGAAACCATATACTAATTAAAGTAACACTCCAGGAGCCATTACCATTACAGCCAACTGTAATAGTGACAGAAGTACCTTGGTTCCCCACCTATCCCACACAAACCTAGTGTAACAAGTCAAATAGTTTTACAGTGGTTTGACATCTTTTCTGACCAGACAAATGGAAGTTTATCAGCAGGACATTCTGTTAGCTCTTCTGGCACACTCAGACAATCTACTGGGAGCTGCCATCACCAGCCATTGTAATCGAGGCAGGGAGCTGTGCCCAGCAAAAGCCATGTAAGAACTTAAACTATTCCAAAAATGATTTCACTCTTTACACTGGTGGTGCGTCAGGGCACAACTGGCATGATAATCCCTAGCCTGGAATTTTCATTTAAGCAGTACATAGTGGGATCATATGAAATGCATATAAAATAAAACAAACATAAAGTTGGACAATAAGAAAAGCAAAGGCTGGAGCCCCTCAGTCACTTATTTAGCAAGAGACAAAATAAACTGAAGCTTATTAAAGCAGAAACCTGTACGACAAGCAAAAGGATATAGCTTAAAGGGACTCTCCAGGCAGATGATTTTACTCACCGGGTTTCAGCACCGGGAGCCTCATGAAGCCGCGCCCCCTATTTCGTCAAAATGACAAAATAGGTGGGCGCGAGCAGGGAGCAATCAGACGCTTCCATTCGGAAGCGTTATTGCTCCCTTGTGCGCATGCGCAGCTTCGCCGCACATACGCACATACTTCAGAGGGCGGCATTCATGCCGTCCTCTGAAGTCCTGAGCGCACTACCACGCATGTGCGCGGTGTGCGCGGCCACGAGCTGAGCTGACAGCTCAGCTCGCGGTCTTTGCCCGCCCCCTCTCCTCTGCTGACA